TAACTTTGTGTTCCCTCGCAATAACTTTGTGTTCCCTTGCAATAACTTTGTGTTCCCTCGCAATAACTGTGTTCCCCTCGCAATAACTTTGTGTTCCCTCGCAATAACTTTGTGTTCCCTTGCAATAACTTTGTGTTCCCTCGCAATAACTTTGCATTCCCTTGCAAAAACTTTGCATTCCCTCGCAATAACTTTGCGTTCCCTCGCAATAACTTGCATTCCATCGCAATACTTTGCGTTCCCTCGCAATAACTTTGCGTTCCCTGCAATAACGTTGCGTTCCCTCGCAATAACTTTGTGTTCCCTCGCAACAACTTTGCGTTCCCTCGCAATAACTTTGTGTTCCCTTGCAACAACTTTGCTTTCCATCGCAACTTTGCGTTCCATCGCAATAACTTTGCGTTCCATCGCAATAACTTTGTGTTCCCTTGCAATAACTTTGCGTACCCTCGCAATAACTTTGCGTTCCATCGCAACAACTTTGCGTTCCCTCGCAATAACTTTGTGTTCCCTTGCAATAACTTTGCGTTCCCTCGCAATAACTTTGCATTACCTCGCAATAACTTTGCGTTCCCTGGCAACAACTTTGTGTTCCATCGCAATAACTTTGTGTTTCCTCGCAATAACTGTGTTCCCCTCGCAATAACTTAGTGTTTCCTCGCAATAACTTTGCGTTCCCTCGCAATACCTTTGCGTTCCATCGCAATAACTTTGTGTTCCCTCGCAATATTGTTTTACGTTCCCACACAAAAGTTTGTTGAACTGAATTAAATCAGACTTTTACTTTGAAATATCCGGTTACCAAAACAGGATGTGTCACCACAAGTTCGTGAAACTGACATTGATGTTGCGTGGCTGCACTGTGTTAAAATATCTGTATATGACATACTTCCATGTGTGGCTGTGTGATATATTCATTCTGAAGCTGAATTAAAGCAGTAAGCTAACTCACTAATAGTGAACATGTGGGTTTGCTAATAAACCAGCAGCACAACAGTGATAAACTACTTTTGCGCGGGAACGCAAAAGTATTACGAGGTAACGAGATACTATTGCGTGGGAACGCAAAAGAAAAAAAATCTCCCATGTCCCCTCGCGGGCTCCGTAGTTTTATGACCACACTGTACAGTTTAATAAAACATTTAGATATATGGTACGTTTTATAAACATTGCTTATTTAGAGCTGTGAATAACATTTTTATACTGCTGTATTTAATTTTGCAAGGCACTTATTGCGGCTGTAAATGAATGCGGCAGAAGTGAAAACCCAGTAGCGATGAATTAATCATCAAAGCAGTCGCGTGCAGCATCGAGAAACACCTGTTTCGGACAAATGACAGCACGTGCCTTTGAGCGAGTCCAGTCCGTGGCTCACTGGGTCAGTTTACTTTGGTTGTTCTACACAGTAGGTGGCCGGTAGCGCAAACCACAAGCCTTGTCTCACTGTTAGCTGTGGAAATACGGTCATCAGGACTAAGGTAGAAGGCGCAAACAAATGCGAACACTTCGTAGATGAAGTCTGTTCAGGTTTAATAACCATTATTACGAACAAACGTTTGCGCAATCATCAAACACGCTACTATGCTAACGTTAGCTAGCGTTAGCTGTTGACATTAGCTGGTTGAGTTTTCGCGCGGAGTAAATGTACGAAATACTTACATTTATATGAACAAACTAGGGTTGTCTACCTAATGAGACACTGAGTCATGTGTTGCGTACAGAAATATAACTGCCACAGTGTGTAGCGTCACTCACCGAGCTCGTCTCCCACGCTACAAAAATGCTAACCAAGCTATTAGCAGCTAGCTGAAGCTGCCGGACACAACTAGTAACATTAGCATGACAACAGCTAACGGGCTACATTTTCTGTTCGGAGTTAACGCCACGCTGTAGTTTAGTAGGTTTCAGATGTCACTGCGTGCAGTTTAACTGGTATTACTCACCGATAACACATCAGTGAGAGCTGGGAGCTTGTTGTTCAGGCAGAGGGATGCAGCAGGAAGCCTCTTAGATGTAAAACACCCAGCCTGCTGAGAGCTCCAACAAACACTAACACACACYGACACACACAGGGCATGGCACAGAAAGAGATGTGCAGTTTTCTCCTACAACACCACCCAAAATGTTTCCTCATCCATGTCTGTCATATTCACACATGTAGACTTATTATTCATAAAGTCGGACAAATAGTTTTACTGCACARCTGAAGAAAGAAAGCACAGATTTACATGAAGCACGCCACCACCCACACACCTTCAACTCACAGGTTGTTGTGTAAAAACATAATCCATTATCTTTGTGGTGTTTTTGTGTTCTCTTGTATGCGAGTGTTAGCCACATGACATGAAATTATTTTTAAACTGGATCTCGTTATAACGAAAAAACTATCTCGTAAAAACGAGAAAATATGTCGTTATAACGACTAAAACATATCGTTATAACGAGAAAACTATCTCGTAAAAACAAGAAGATATCTCGTTATAATGACTAAAATATCTCGTTATAACGAGAAAACTATCTCGTAAAAACAAGAAGATATCTCGTTATAATGACTAAAATATCTCGTTATAACGAGAAAACTATCTCGAAAAAATGAGAAA